TGGGCTCTGGCTGGGCCACTCAAGGACATTCATTGAGGTGTTGATCAGCCACTCCATTGATATTTGGGTGTGCTTTGGATCATTGTCCTGCTGGAAGATGAACCGTCGCCCCAGTCTAAGGTCAAGAGCACTCTGAAGCAGGTCTTCATTCAGGATGTCTCTGCACATTGCTGCATTCATCTTTCCCTCTATCCTGACTAGTCTTCCAGTTCCTGCTGCAGAAAAACATCCCCACAGCATGATGCTGACCCCACCATGCTTCACTGTAGAGATGGTATTAGCCTGGTGATGAGCGCTGCCTGGTTTTCTCCAAACGTAACGCCTGGCATTCACTCCAAAGAGTTCAATTTTAGTCTCATCAGAGCAGAAAATTTAGTTTCTTATGGTCTGAGAGTCCTTCAGATGCCTTTTGGCAAATTCCAGGCGAGGAGTGGCTTCAGTCTAGCCACTCTACCATACAGGCCTGATTGGTGGATTGCTACTCAGATGGTTGTCCTTCTGTAAGGTTCTCCTCTCTCCACAGAAGAACGCTGGAGCTCAGACAGAGTGGCCATCGGGTTATTGATCACTTCTCTGACTAAGGCCCATATCCCCCGATCGCTCAGCTTAGATGGCCGGCCAGCTCTAGGAAGAGTCCTGGTGGTTAAACATCTTCCACTTACGATTGATGCAGGCCACTGTGCTCATTTGAACTTTCAGAGCAGCAGAAATGTTTCTGTAACCTTCCCCAGCCTTGTGCCTCGAGGCAACCTTCTCTCTGAGGTCTACAGACAATTCCTTTGTCTTCATGCTTGGTTTGAGCTTTGACATGCACTGTAAAACCCTACTCAGTGATTGTGCTGCAAAACTCCTCTTACTATAAAACACATTTTACTAGACTGTCCTGCTTTTACTGATTCCAGAAGACTTTTTCATGAAATTAACTCTTTTAAGGACATTTTTAACAGAGTGAAACCAGAAAAGATTTTAGAATTTTTATCATGTATTAACACAAAAAAAATCTTATTTAATTTATGTTTTATTTTGTTTGTTGATTTTTAAATTGTATATTTTTTGTTGAAAGATTCCTGCCATGAAAATAGCCTTGGTTGCTGACATGGCATTAAATAAAAAATACATTACATTACATTGACATGCACTGTCAACCCTGGGACCTTATATGGACAGGTGTATGCCTTTTCAAATCATGTCCAATCAACTGAATTGACCACAGGTGAACTCCAATGAAGCTGCTGAAACATCTCAAGATTGATCCGTGGAAACATAATGTACCTGAGCTCAGTTTAGAGCTTCACGCCAAAGGCTCTGAATACTGATGTACATGTGATTTTTCAGGTTTTTTATTTTTTTTTAAAAATCTGATTTCCCCCACAGTCCAAACACATGCGCTATAGGTGAATTGGGTAAGCTAAATTGGCCATAGTGTATAAGTGTGTGTGAATGTGAGTGTATGGGTGTTTACCAGTACTGGGTTGCAACTGGAAGAGCATCCGCTGCATAAAACATATCCCAAAACAGTTGGCGGTTCATTCCGCTGTGGCGACCCCTGCTAAAAAATGGAACTAAGCTGAATGAATAGCACTGTCTAAATCACAGATGATCAGAAATCACTGTTTTTATTGTCTGTTACGACAGTCACCATGTCAGCAGGAAATGATAACAGAACTATCTTTATGGTGAACTATTGCTCCAATCTCTCGCAGGCCCGAATGAAATACTCCTTAATGAAGTTCTGCAAGATTGCCAAAGCTCCAGAGCAGCTGTGGTGCAAAAGCAAAGATACGATAAACAAGCGACTGAACGAGCTGCTGGAAGTGCTGTGTAAACTAGGCCGAGAGCTGCCCTGGGTCAGGCCTACAGACATCCAGATGAACACTGTAACCACGCTGGTGGAGGACATCCTGAAGCACCGCAAAGCACTGCTTATACTGGCTGTAAAACACTACGAGAAACAACTGGAAGAGACTCAAACATCACAATACTCAGAAAGTGAGCTGTCAGATTCAAAGAGCTCTGTGCAGACCCAATGTAAAAGTCCTCCTGATGAAGAAGATGAGGGTTGTGAGCTGCCTCCGGATCATTGGGGTAAAAGGCACTTGTTTTTGCCGCCCTGCGTGAGGAGTCAGAAGAGGCTCAAGATAAACGAAGCGCCGCTGGAGGTCACCGGAGATGAAGACATTTCAGACAGTGAAATCGAGTCGTACATTCGCTCAGAGGAGGAGATTAAGCTGTTTGCGAAAGCTCGTAAAAAGATTTGTAAGTACTAATCAGCGCTGATTTCTTGTTACAATCAGGTTTTTGTTATGTGATTTATATTTTTTGTTACTTGGAATAGTTCGGTTGTAAATTTGAAAGTTTTTTTTTTGTAAATAAAAAGATTTTGTTGTTAAAATATTTTTGTTAATAAAGAGTTTCTGGCTGAATCGATTCTCTGGTATTTCTGAGGTTGCACTTTACAATTAGGTCCCATTAGATAATGCATTAACTAATAATTTACAATGCACTACCTGACAAAACTCTTGTCACCTATCCAAGTTTTAGGAACAGCATATAATAACTTGACTTCTAGTTAATCATGTGGTATCAGAAGTGGCTTATATGAAAGGCAAAGGCCTCTAGATTACACTTTATTTCACCCACATCAAATATGATCATGCCTTGATTTTTGATTATTTCATTAGGACAGTAAGTTCTGACTTTGCTTGGACAAAAGTTTTGATACTTAACAGAAATAATGTCCAGTCTAGAATATAAAGTCCTGCTGCAGTGGAGACAGAATGAATATTGTGTCTGACTCCATCATGAGCTTGGAGGACTGCATCCATACATCTCTGACATGACTCAAATCACTTCGTTCATCAGGATTCTGTAGTTTCATCTTCAATGCCTCCTCCATCTTACCTCCGATATGCTCAATAATGTTCACTACTGGTGACTGGGCTGGCCAATCCTACAGCACCTTGACCTTCTTTGCTTTTAGGAACTTTGATGTGGAGGCTGAAGTATGAGAAGGAGCGCTATCCTGCTGAAGAATTTGCCCTCTTCTGTGGTTTGTAATGTAATTTTGATACCTCAGGTTGTTGATGTTCATCATTTTAAATAATTGTAATTATCTTTAAAATAAAATAAACATCAGCTGAAATTAAATATGTAAGAATGTTTTTTCAGCAAGTTGTAAAGAAAGCATGTCTACGTTGTTTATATGGAAAGAAAAAAGACAGCTGGAAAATGTTCACACAGAATTCTAATAACTGGAGTAGTTATACCAATAAAATAATACAAATCGTGTCAATAATGCTAAAATTTTACTGTGAGATCCCATAGGTCCAAAAAAGAGAGAGCACTGGAAAATTTTCCTGGGTTTACAATTTACATAATTAAGGCCCGTGCACACCAGGATGCTTTTTGATTGCGTTTTCCATCTACGTTTAACGCTTCGTGACTTATTAAAGGGCGCCAATGTAATCGTGCACACCAACACGCAAAACAACAGGCGCAAAAGCGTAATTTTTAAACAAACGCCTCATGCTCGTTTTTTTGTTTTGAAACGCCACGTCGACCTTTTTGTTCACGTGCATAGAGTTGCTGAAGTTACAGTAAACAGCACTTGGAGGTCCTCAAGAGCAAAACTGTCAATGCGAGCGCACATTGAAGATGCCTAGAGGCGATATGAACGTGCATCTGCTTATTGTACTGGTGAACAATCATTTCTTCATCGCTAGAGCTGCTACTTGAACCATCCGTGCGTGTTTAAATCGCCAGTAACTTTAACAATAAGCGTGTCATCTTTCTCTTTTCTTTTTCTGTTACAAGCGGGTGTCAGAAGCTTAAAGTTGTGTAGCGCCATCTAATGTCAAGGAGTGATTTTGCAAACTTCTCCTCGACGCCAGTGAAAATCCCTTGAGTTTGAAGCTGGAAAAACGTCTCAAAGACGCTGATAATAAATGCAAACGAAAAGCGTCCCGGTGTGTTTGAGCCTTAATAAACTGGAGTAGTTATACCAATAAACTAATAAAAATCATGCCAGTGAGGCTAAATGTGATATCCCTGGGTTCACAAAAAAATTCATTGTCCTTGGTGTGTCGCCCTCTTTGGCTCTATAATTACAGAAAAACGAATACAATTAGCATCGCTGCTTTTTAGCTGAATGTTTAAAATGGTTTAAAATTAGGCTACAACGGTTTTAAATTAGATCATTTCAGATAACACATTACTAATAATGAGCAATACAACAGCATTGATGTTAATACAACTGTTTAACTCAAGTGCAATAAATATATTCAGAAGGTATTTTTAAAATAAAATCAACATCAGCTGAAATTAAATAGCGTATGTAGGCTAAGAACTGTTTATTTTCAGAATGTTCCTAAGAAAGCATATCTTATACATTGTTTATAAAGAAAGGAAAAAGAAACCAACTGTAAAATGTTCGTTTTTTTTTTTTTTTACTTGTGTTACATGTTCTGTGTTTACATGTAATAGCTAATAAACTGAAGTTGTTAAACCAATAAACTTATAGAAAACCATGTCAGTGATGCTAAAAAGAATCAGTGAGATCCCTGGGTTCACATCAAAATCGCTTGGGTTTGAATCTGGAAAAACATCTCGAATAAACGCTGATGATAAATGCAAATGAAAAGCGTCCCGGTGTGTATAAGCCTTAATAAACTGGAGTAGTTCTACCAATAAACTAATAAAAAAATCATGCCAGTGAGGCTAACTGTGATATCCTGGGGTTCACAAAAAATTCATTGTCCTTTGTGTGTTGCCCTCTTTGGCTGTATAATTACAGAAAAACGAATACAATTAGCATCGCTGCTTTTTAGCTGAATTTTTAAAATGGTTTAAAATTAGGCTACAACGGTTTTAAATTAGATCATTTCAGATAACACATTACTAATAATGAACAATACAACAGCATTGATGTTAATACAACTGTTTAACTCAAGTGCAATAAATATATTCAGAAGGTACTATTAAAATAAAATCAACATCAGCTGAAATTAAATAGCGTATGTAGGCTAAGAACTGTTTATTTTCAGCATGTTCCTTAGAAAGCATCTGTTATATACATTGTTTATAAAGAAAGGAAAAAGAAACCAAGTGGAAAATGTTCGTTTTTTTTTATTTTTTTTGTTTACTTGTGTTTGTGTTTACATGTTCTGTGTTTACATGTAATAGCTAATAAACTGAAGTTGTTAAACCAATAAACTAATAGAAAACCATGTCAGTGATGCTAAAAATAATCAGTGAGATCCCTGCCTGGGTTTACAAAAGAAGAGAGAGAGCACTGGAAAATGTTGAGTCTCTGCGTTTACTTTTAACATATGCTAATACACTATTAGCGTAGCTACCAATAAACTAAAACAAATCATGTCAGTAATAACTATATTAAACAGTGAGATCACTGGGTCCACACACAAAAAAAACGATTATTCTTTGTATATCGCCCTCTTTGGCTGTATAATTACAGGAAAGCTAATCTAATTAGCGTCGCTGCTTTTCGCGTCGTGTTCGTGATGACGTCATCGGCGCCATTTGATTGTTCTTCCCGCGCTGCTCGCCTCGAGGCTTCAGCTCCTCAGGTGTGTGATCTTGACAGCCAAGCTCTTTTAAAGTGATTGTTCTCATTATTTTGTCTTATTATCTGTATCTGCTCGCCTCAAGATCAATTGCTGCTCCGAACAAAAGAGCTTCTCTTGCTGCTGGAGTTCAGGCAAGGACATCCTGATGGATTTGTACAAGGTATTTGTCCTCTTGGAAATGTCACCCGCATTAGCATTTAAGGTTATTGGAAAGGAAGGACACAAACATGCTCTCCATAGTTAATGGGACGATCTGCTGTGTAAACTGTTCGCCTCTGTCTACCTGAAAAGTTCACACAGATGAGGTAAAAAGGAAAATTGCTTATTTAAAGTAGGTTAGTACTTTAATTCAGCAAAAAGTCACTAACGTAAACAGGTGTGACCCTATCGAATACAATTTACATTACTGAAGATTTTGTTTAAAGTAATGCAAAGAGAAATTTGAACATTATGCTATAAACTTTAGAGATGCATTGCTAAAACACATTACTAAGATTAAGAAGTAGTAATTTGTTAAAGTTTTTTTAAGGGGCGGGGAATGGAGCCATTTTTAGTAAAAAGAAATGATTAATAACCAGTGTGCGCATGATACGTTGACGATCGGAGGAACAACTTTTTTGATTAGTTCGTGTAATACATGCTATAGTCATTTTTGTATTTATTGTTAAGTAGATCTAGTTTATTAATACAACGTATTTAAAGGGCCATGACACCCCCCACTTTCGGTTAAAGTCTACTTCAGAATTTTTTCAAAAGATGCATGATTAATGGGCGTGGAGCTCCGCGAGCATCGGGCAGGAGTGGGCGTGGCCAGCAGGGGAGAAGGGGAGCGAACTGTTGTTGTCAGTTAGCTCACAAAATGAAACATAAAGAGGAGACGCATGAGTTTATAGTTTACAAAGTTAAAATGCAAATAAATGAACAGTGATTTAATGCCTTGCTACATTTGTTATTCGTAATTTCATATACAGACAACCACAATTTATATCATTATAAAGATAAGTGTGTTCATGTAAACACTATAAATGAGGACTTCTCCCTCAATCCCCGTATCCAGCAGACTCAGTGCAGCAGGTCTCCTGACCTGTCTATTTTAACCATTAACCCTGCTGGTAATCTAGAGGATTTAGGCAAACACAGCAGCACAGTGATGTGTCTGAATGTGAACGAACTCCTGATAAAAGACAGCGTCTCGTGCTGCTCTCCCGACAAAAATGCTTGCAGCACGCACACAGCTTTGCTGTATGATCGGCCCTGACAAGATCGCGGGGGAAAACATGCAACAAACCCTGTGGATGATGAAAACAAACGCATATGAGCCTTCATGAACGGCTGAATACTGTGTGCCGTGGTTTCCGTGTCTCTCAGCTCGGGCTTGACTCTGGCAGGTCTCATGAATAATTAAGCAGCCGGCTCTTCTCATAGGATAGGAAAACGCCGCTATGAATAATGATGAGAAACCGATGCGTCATCATTGCACTTGCAGTTTTGCGCTACGTCGCCGATTTTGATCCCGCCCCAAAAATCATTTTAAACCCGGAAGCTGAAATTAGCTGACAAAAGCTCAAAATTATCCAGTTTTCCCCACAATTAAAGCTGACAGGTGCTAACATTGTCTTAACTGATGCTCAACACACACACATCTGTTAATATAAAAAAAAAGTTCTCCAGGGTGTCCTGAACCTTTAAGTTTTCGTTTTTTTGAGGGATATTTATTGTATTCTGACCTACAGTATCCTCTGATTAGCTATTTCCATAGGTTAAACTACAAACTCTATATGTATATAAACGCCTACTTCATGAGAAAAAAGTTTTGTAAACACTTCTGATGTCAATCTGTGCTCTCTAGATCTGCCAGTTTCAGAATGTTGAATGATTTTTTTCTCTAATGGACTGATTGGTGTGATTTTTGCAT